AATGGAAACGTCGAATGTCCGCCTATTCGTTTGTTTGTATTTATATATGCTCTCATTATGTCTCTCAGTTTTTGAAATATCGGTCTGAATTTTTGTACATGTCTTATAAACGTTTAAGATAGTTAAAAGTTATGACAGTTCTTATGGTGATAGTTTGATACCAGGTCGTTTTTCTACAATTATTAAGAATAACATATTCACTTAATTTTTAGTAAATATTTATATTTTCTCAGTGAAAGCATATATGAACTGCATAAATATTACTCAGACCAGAGAATAAAAAGCTTGGGACTTAGAAATTTAAGCCTTGAGCATTTTTAGTCTGACTTTTTCATTTGAAATCGTGATGCTGGGTGGAGCAACTTGGAATTATAAAAACATTTCAACCGTAGGCGGTAGGTAAGTAGGTACGCACCACGTTAATTTTACTGAATTAAAACATCTGTTTACTTGTTGATTTCGTCACTTAATTATACCATATATACCATTTTATAAATACAAATATGTTAAAAGCTTACAAGCATGCATTGTCAAGGTCGTTTTACATTGACGTTCAAAATTCTCATTAACATGAATTTTACATGCACTTACTTACGACTTATGCTATTTGCATAGCATTTTAGAAAAGTAATTTACGTAAATATATAGGGTGTTTTTATGTGTTATAATATTTTAGACGAATAACGGCCAATATAGCTGTTGAAGTAAGCACATATGTTTGACATTTAAGTTCAGTCTGCTTTAGTAAAATGGTATTGAAAGACTCATCTCGCCATAAGATTTAGTAATCGTGGTAATTGAGTTTTTATTTAAAAGCGGGCAAGATATCTTCACAAAATTTGGTGTGAATTATTGGGCCTTGTTGATGAACTCAGACTAAATTGGCAATGCGACCGAGAAAAGTATGCAGTATGAAAATGGGTAATAGCAGACTAAAAGCACGTCTACTTCCCCCACATTGCACATTTTTAAATTCTGATTGTTTCACTTTCCAGTAAACAAATTAAGCACCAATGAATATATAGGTACCGAATATGTGGACCCCAATTCATATTTTGAACTTTTTATCGAAAATATCTGTCAATCTGTGGGATATATTATAAAAATTCAGAGAGAAGCTTTATCTGATAGCAATATGGCTGTGCGTTAAAATTGTGTTGAATCAGATCAATAATTCCTTTAGCCACCATATAATCTAATCTATTAGAAAAATCTTCGAGCTTGTCGTCAACTTTATACCGTAAATATCGATCAATATGCGAGTTATCTTAATGAAATTAAAAGAGCGTGCTTTTCTTATCACAATGTATCTTAGTGCATAAAATTGTTAAAATCGGTTTAAAACTTGCCCTAGCAGCCGTATAACTAATATAAAGATTTTTAAACATCCGGTTGACTTTCTCTCGCATATTTTTGTGATGGTATATAAGGTACCTTAATGAAACTCAGATATCATCTTTGTCAGTGGTAATGGCAAATGGTACCTCTCATATATTAAATATAGTAGTTTCAAACTTCTGATTGACGTATATATTGGTCAATATGTAAGATATCTTAACAAAATCAACTGAACGGATAATATTGGACATATTATGGTTAAATGGCGAAAATATGTGATATTGGTCTACGAATTACCCAAACCCTCATATACCATATACCATAACATAAATATATAATTTTCGTTATTCTAACAAACCCAATGCACAATATGTCGGTCAGTGTATGAGTTATATATTTATAAAATTAATTATTTGAAGGAATTTCCTAGGATTTGATACTTGCATGTTGCAAGAGTATGAAATGTTCGGTTACACCCGATTACCCCCTTCCTTACTTTTATTTTTATTGAAGGTGGCGCCAAATTTACCGTCGATAGCAGACAGGATACTATTTACACTTAACAAGAAACAAGTAAATGGGCCTGACAATTGGCCACCCTCTAAAAAGGAAAGTTACCAGTTTATTTCATTTCTTATTATTATTTGAAATCAAAGTTCTATAACTATAAAAAAAGCTCCCTTTACCTTTGAAATTTGCCTGCGCACCAAACGAAACGCATTTTATTTGTAGATATTCCCAAAACATAAGTCATTACTTGTTAGGAAGTCATTACAATTCTAAATATATACGAGTATCTACAAGTATGTATGTATTTACAAAAGCTTATGCGTGCACATAAACATACAAAATAAGCACCTAGTTAAAAGCAAGGTCAGAGAGAAATTTAAATTTATTTAATGAACTTTTTTGGAAGTGTCTGTGTATATAATATATGTAAAAAAGAAAAATGATTCGAAATATTTGAACATCCTAATGCGTTCAAAGAACAATGCAGTATTTCATTATGGAGTATGTTCAAAAATCGCGAACTCTTCAATTATATTAAAGCATTTCAAATAGCCTAGGGTGTTTTTCATTGTCAGTAAATAAAATTAAATATTTTTTAAGCCCGTATACCATTTGAGTTATACCCGAAGGATGGCGCTGTGATGCAAACAAAAAATTCAACAAGTGGAATCTAAAATCTTGCTCAGCTCATAGGAGATTTCACCACCTTAATATGAAAAACGCAGTCGGTTGCATAAGAGGCCGTGATTATACCATTCGTTTTGATAGTCGGTGTAGAGTGATGCTGATGGTGAATGCTGTGTGCCAACACTATACTGATTTAGCCAGATATTTATTATCTAATTTTTTATTTGGTGGATGGCATTGTCGAAAAATTGCCACATTAAACCCCTGCCACAGGTGCAACGAGGTTGCTTGCTGTAAATTACGGGCGCAATGAAATCTACCGCAACAATGGTTCTGGAGGTCGGATGCACATATGTACATACTTGTACATATACAAGTAAGGTATGAGACAATGCTTATGGTCAGCTGGCTCATGATTTCAGGTCATTGGAGCTAGACTCTACGTCACTACGGGCATAGTATCATACTCGATTAACGAGCTCGGGCTAAATTGGCAATGTAATCGTGAAAAGGAGATCCATGAGGAATCAAACACAATGTTTTCAATCCCCAGTAGAGAAGATTGGACCAATGTTTTCAGTTCCAACGGCGAAATCTACATATTTACAAACGGATTAAAGAGTGAAATAAGAACAGGAGCGGCCTATAGTAAACCCTACGCAGAAGATAGCTTCAATCTAAGTTAATAAAATTCTGTATTTCATGCCGAGATTATGGGCATAACAAAACGTGTCAAGTGAGCTTCTGCTCTAATCAACAAACTCATACAACGTAGCACCAATAAGAAGTCTCACTGTATTAGGTTATGCAAGTAGGCGATAATTAGATTCTCAGTAGGTAACACGGGTAATATCAACTGGGTACCCGGTCATTTAGAAATAGAAGAAAACAAAAAGGTTAAATAGTTGGCTGGTTTGGCAGCAGCTGGGAACACAATTCGCCATAGAACAGTTGGGGTAGGAAAAAATCTAGTTTTTTCCAAATCCAGTCATTTGCTGGATAATGAACAATGAACCTAATGATGGCCTAAGTGTGGCCGCCTGCTGCCTGGCGCTCCTTTAGTTTAGCACATAATCAATCATAATATCTGAAGGAGTAAGGTAAGTGAGAGCACAATTGACCTACTAATCGATCCATTTCAAACATTTAAATGCCATCATACATATATATGTAAACGAATGTGGGTCAATAACTAATCAAATGATCAATGAGGCTGTCAAAAACAACCGTTAGTTAAGCAAAACAATCTCATACTCATATTATATGGTAAGTATTTATATTGAAAGAGCACATACCTATAGTATTTCTCTCTGTGAAGAGCACTTCACTCTAGTAATTGTAAATGATTACAAAAGTGTAGCATGCAATTTTTCTTGGATGACTTTATTGAACTGAACTTTAGGTAAGACAATAAACTTTTTATGAAAGGCTAAGCATATGTGCTATTTCATTGATAAGTTACGTTCCATGCATATCTTATTGTACTAAATGTGGAACGGTGATTTAATCATTCCGTCTAGTTGCTACAGTAAGCAATACATTTCCATTTTAATGTTTTGCTATTATTGTAAACTGAGTTGAATGATTATCTGTGCCTTGGAATGCCAGTGTTTATTGCAAACATCAATCCAATTATGTTGAATAATTAATTATACAAGTATAGCGAAGTAGAACAAAGGCACACTCTTGTGGTTATTGTCTGGAATTTGTGCAAAGCAATGCTGGTTTCTGAGCGTTATCTCCGCGAGAATAACTGATATCCAACTGGCGGTATGTTTGATTATATAGTCAATTATGTTTATATTTGTGTTTGTATTGCATTACCGCTGCCAAATGAGCCACGAATTCGGTATCTTGTTTGCAGTTGCTCTGCTTTACAATTAATCAACTTCTTGAAATCGCTGAAATGGAAAGCTTTTGAGGCGATTTTTTACATTGAGTACAACTTGCTGCAGCATTGCATTAAGCAAGTGAATTTACTGAAACTTACTATTTGGTATATCTGGCACCTGCTTGAACTGAAGATAAATTATGTTAACGTCGCACAAAACATATTTATATGTATATATTATATATGCATCCACTACATTGTCTAAAGTGTTTCCAATAAGTTGGGAGTCCTTTAGGCTCTGTGAGAAATTTGTTCACGGATGTAAGTTGTAGACGTGTTTGAACTGCTATCTGCTCTCTACAACAAAGATAGCGAGTTGAAAGCAGAATTTAGATAAATCTTTAAATGTATTGTATAAAAACATTCTTCAATTTTACCAAGTTCTACTAGTTTTTAAGCCAGTTTTACAATAGTCTCAATTCTCATTGCAAAATTGAGAAAGAAGTTTTTAATTCGAAATTTCAGTTATTTGCAAAAAAGTCAATATGCGAGGCATAGACGTATATATTTAAAAAAACTTGAGTCCTTATAAAAATTTATATAAATTATACCTCAAAAAAATATATCCAAAGAATATCAAAATATTTATATTAATTTTTTATTAAGACAAATTATTGTTCTAATATTTTTACAGATAAAAGTTGGAATTATTGACTGAAAAAATAAAAATATACAAAATATTTTAAAGACTTCTGCGTAACAACCTGACTTATAGCATCATGGATGAATTTCCCGTCATACAAATACCTGATGATGAAGTACTCGAGGAGGAGGAATTCGGTAAGTTAATTTTTACTTTAAATATATACAATAATAAGATGTTTGACCGTGTTCTTCTGCTAGCTTTGGAACATGCCTTTAGATCACTAAATATGTGAAAAGCATTTAATTTTAAGATAGACTTTTGCATGGATGAAATATAAAACTTGGAACAAAAACTAAGAGCGAACTCAGATCGTGAGAAGTGGTGGTATAAACTCACTAATGAGAACTTAACGCGCTGGCTGTCATAATTTACCATGTGATCAAATTTGACCAGCACTAATAAATTATGGCCCTCAAAATAGGCTAACTTAAAGCCAATGCAAGCATACCAACGCTTAGGACAATTTCACATACACTTCTTAAAATCCTCATTTACCTCATTAACAGTCCAGGTCAAATTTGATCGGATGGTATGTAAACGATTATAAATCGTTTTATCGATTGAATTTAAACTATATTTGATAACAAATTGTGAGAGTATACTTCTTGAAAGTCCAAATCTTTATCCAACTGAGAGTCCTTTTCTTCTTGGTTACACAATTATGAACCAACATTTCATTAACTTATTTGTGCTAATAATATGTCTTTGTTGGAATAATGAACTCGTTCAATTTTTGTGGTTAAGCAAGGAATTTCCCAATTGTTCTATGTTATTTTAACAATACATTTACAATAGCTTGTTTTCCTTATCGATAAATTTAAAAGTAATTAAAATTTCTTATATTAATTTCAGAACGTCTATACTCCGCTCCAATTGAAATTGTCATAATACTCTCGATATTTTACGGCGGCATCAGTATTTTAGCAATCATTGGCAACTCTTTAGTCATTTGGGTTGTTATAACGGCCCGACAAATGCGTACCGTCACCAATACATACATAGCAAATTTGGCTGTTGCCGATGTCATCATTGGACTCTTCTGTATACCGTTTCAGGTGAGTACATGGACCAATTAACATAATTACATGCATGAGTATGTGAGAAGTACGTTTGGAGAAGGTTAGAGTACTGATGAGAGGGCATAATATTTGCATAGTCATGGAATTGAAGCCAATTTGAATGGATTTTCTGAATACTTGTATAAAGGTTGTCCTTTAAGAGTTATACAATTTTTTGTATTAAAACTAATCAGTTGGAAACCAGCGTTCACCGCATTATTGAAGAGTTATGCTGAAAAGGTGTATTTGTATTTAAGTCTTGACTTAAAGACAGATAATAAAATTTATTATTAAATAAAAGTAAATCTTCGAAAATAATAATAACTATATTATTTTAGTTTCATATATGATTATTAATTATACTTATGATATAAATAAAGTAATGCACAAAATTTTTATATTTGTTAAGAATTTTATGCATAATATCATCTACAAAAATAAACTTAACTATTTTATTTTATAAAAATTAATATAATTTAATTCTGCTCAGTTTCAAGCAGCTCTTTTACAGCGTTGGAATTTACCTTGGTTTATGTGTGCCTTTTGTCCTTTCGTGCAAACGTTAAGCGTAAATGTTTCCGTGTTTACATTGACCGCCATTGCGATTGATCGACATCGTGCTATCATTAATCCTTTAAGGTAAGAAAATGACAAATGGCTTTAAATAAGAAAATAAGTAAGTAATTAAATATACTTGTACTTAAGACGATAACAAATGCTTTTTACGCTATAACCCAATATCTCAAATAATGTTTTATGCTGTAATATTTATCTTATATTTTAACAAAAGTAAATACTTTATGGTTTAGTTTATGCAAGCTAAATACAAATAATGATTTTCGTATTAAGAGAAAAAGAAACCTTTTTTAACTACTTGAAACTAATAGTCTTTCAATTGCGAAAATTTTTTTTTTAAATAATTACAAAAAAGCAAGGGATCCAACCCCGTTATATTCTCGAAAATTGTAAGCAAGAGGGCGGGAGAAATAGTTATGTATACCTTTATGTTTGAGAGGGTATTAAGTCAAAATTACCTCATCAAATTTTTATATCTCACGTAAATGTATAAGATCCAGCAAAAAGGGATTATTTTTATACCCTGAATAGGGTATATTTAGTTTGCCACGAAGTTTGTAACACCCAGAAGGAAACGTCGAAGACCCTATAAAATATATAATATATAATACATAAAAATGATCGGCATATGAGCTGAGTCAATTTAAATTGGTTAGTGTCTAAGGCAATAATCTCCAATATCCGAAGAAATTGTTCAGATGGCACCACTATAGGTATAGCCATCCTACCAAACACTTATTAAAACCGTAATCATCGGATGGGCAATGGAAAAAGTGCTTACACAACGTTTGCACTCATTGATTTCCATAATTTCCTGGTACATCTTTGACATTGAATTTACCGGAATGAAATTGACAAAATCAAAATAGGCCTGATTGGCCGTTACTATATCAAGATCATAACTAGTCACATTTTTAGCCCCCTGGGCTTGCGTTTTCGCCTTTATCGAATATTTTGGTTTTGTTATATCTGGAGTATAAAACATATTTATGTTCATGATTCTAAATAGTATAGATTTCTGGAGAATAGAGCATCAATCGTTGTTCCTGATTTAGTCCTGGCAATTTTTCGGTCGTTATTCATGTCTGAACCGAGTTTTTCATTAAGAAAGTGAAGTAATGGCCGGGACGCATTGTCAATGGTATGTGATCATCACCCCTGCCAAGGAGAGCAACACTGCCATGAGTGCTAATAATACCGAATGAAATATATGATATCCTCAACTCATCCTCAACTTTTTGATTAGGAGATATGTAGATTTCTGCGATGACAATTTCATTTACATTTGATATTTTACATTTACTCAAGCTGATATCGCCAATTTCAGTCAAACTCACTGTATGTGCAGTGGAATATATTGTATTAATATGAAAATGTGGATTGTCAATGCTAAAATGTATCGCATTCATTATAATAGATCACAACACCTCCTGCTCGAATATTCGATGGTTTATATTTGGCGACTCAAGTGCTGTTTGATATGCTGACGTTCTCATCATTGTCTAACCAAGTTTCGGTTATCAGCACAATATTGTCATGAAGCCAGCTTCTTGAACATTTTGAAAACGGCTGCTTACAGTGAAACAAAAGCGAATCGCAAATTTGAAAAAATGTCGTGACGCTTTAAAATCACTCTGATGCGGTTGAAGAAGTATTCACTACAAAAATATTTTGTTTGCCGAAGAATATATGCGATATAAAATCAATTAAAGTGACCAAAACACTTATATTTTGTATAAGCATAGCAACAAATTTGCGACACTATTTGTTTTGTTTAGCTACCTCTCTTAATGCTTGAGTTGTCGATTGTAGTCTCTAAGCACTTGATATAATTTAATTTTCCCTTTAAAACAGTATTAATGGAACATGTTGAATTTACAATCGCAGCATTTCTAATATATTCTGAAAAAAACTGTTTCAATCTTTCTATGCTGAGGAATTTAAATATTATACTTTAATCTTTACGTATGTTTACAACTTTTAGTTTTAATATGAATACTAATTTTGCATGACTTTTCATGTTTTAATTTAATATCATCATATTTCATGCCTTATCTTTATAAAATCTAAAAAAATTTATTTAGATACAAAAAGAAAAAAATTTAAAACATTTTAGAAAGTTATTGGCGCCAGAAATGTTTAGCACTTTCATTCTTCTATTACACTTGCAGAGCACGTCCTTCGAAATATATTTCGAAATTTATTCTGCTTGGCATTTGGTTATCAGCATTCATATTCGCAAGCCCAATCGCTGTCGCATTTCGTGTGGAAGTGATGCAAGAACGTTATAGAGGTGAGTTGAAAAAATATATACATAAGTATGTATATGCTTATACATGTATATAGCTAATATAAATAAGATTATATATATATAGGAAGCTTTTGTATTTATTTATAATATGTACTAATATATTTCACGTGCTCTATAAAACCTTTATACAAAATTCCACCATATAAGAGGATGGTGTCATCTATAATGTGACACGACCCTTCTGCACGAACGTCAATCTTTCGGATGAACAACTGAAGGCTTACCGTTATGCGCTCGTAGTCGTACAATACTGCGTGCCCTGCTGTGTCATCTCGTTCGTCTACGTACAAATGGCTGTTAAACTGTGGCTCACCGAAACGCCGGGCAACGCTGAGGATGCAAGAGATATGGCGTTAATGCGAAATAAGAAGAAAGTAAGTTGGACAATAATTAAAATCACGATTTTCTCTGTCTCGTCTTTATTATTGTCATGTATTTGCGTATTTAGTGGCTTCAGTGGTTGGCGCATATAAAACTGAATGTTGACCAAGAGGATACTGTATCTCTAATTAAGCTGTGTATGCTCAATAAACAGATACCTGTATGTTGTTGTGTCGACAGCGCTTCGGTCCTAATCATGCTATTTTTCTAAGATTTGCCTTTGGCTAAACAAACAATAGCTCATAAGCAGCAAGTGATTATTTTTTGCTCAATTAAACGACTGTTTTGGCGCGTTTTGTTTATTTTTGTCATGTAATATTGCTCATTTACGCTTAGTTAAGTGCGTATATCTTATTCTGCGTTTGACTATGAAAATAGCTACAAAATATGTATATGCTCCTGCATTTATTTGCGTAAATTTGTGTAAAAAAATATTAAAGACAAAGTTGTTTTTATATAATATTGTCATTCCTTATAAATATCGTATATCTCTTTCATCAGGTCATAAAAATGCTCATTGTTGTTGTGATTGTGTTCGGTATCTGCTGGCTACCTTTGCAGTTATATAATGTGCTGTATGTGACTATACCGGAAATTAATGAATACCATTTTATCAGCATAATATGGTTTTGTTGCGATTGGCTGGCGATGAGTAATAGCTGCTACAATCCTTTCATTTATGGAATTTACAATGTGAGTATTTCGAGTGCATATATATAGATGTATATATAATATTATACCCAACTTGTGGCACTGAAGGTAGTTTAAGACAAAAAAAAGAAAAGGTATTAACTGTGGCTGCACCGAAACTATAATATCCTTTACTAATGCAAAGTGTTGCTCACAAGAAGTACTTGATTCCGATTGTTCAGTTTGTATGGCAGCTCATCATGCTGATCATTTAAATATGTGTATATTTTATTGGGTCTCCGACGTTTCCTTCTGCGTATTAAAAACTTCGTGGCAAACTTAAAACACCCTGTTAAGGGTATAACACGGAAAAGCGTTAACTAAAGTTTTAGTAAATTTTTATGGCAACCATATGCCATAGTGATCCGATCTGAATAATGTATTTGGAGATTGTTGCGTTCCTTTTGATAATAATTTTTGCCAAATTTTGTGAGGATATCTCGTTGAATACAAAAGTTTTCCATATAAGTACTTGATTCCAATCGGTTAGTTTATATGGCAGCTATATGTTATAGTGATAGGACCTGAACAATATTTACCAGACTTCTAGCACTGCCTTGGACAATAATCAATGCCAAGTTTAGTTAAGATATCTTCTCAAATAAAACAGTTTTCCATACCAGGACTTGATTTTGATTGATCTGTTTATATGGCATCTAATCCTAAAATAGTCTGATATTAGCAGTTATAACAAAGGAGCAGCCTATTGGGTAGAAAAGCACGTGTGAACAATTTCAGATGGATATCTCAAGAGCTGTGGGACAACTTCGCGTATATTCAGACATACAAACGAATAGGCAGACGGATATGGTTAAATCGACTCAGCTCGTCCCGCTGATCATTTATTTAGACATATATTGTACATTATACGGTCTCCTTCTTCCGGGTGCGTGGCAAACTTAATATACTTCGTTCAGGGTATAATACATTCATTGTGAAGCGTAAAAGTGAATAAAAACAGCTGAAAATGCAAAATTACTTAATATTCGTTGAAACTCTCTGAGGTAGCTTTGATTTTTGCTATCTCCATATTATTTTTTATACCATAAAATATATTTTTCATTCACTATATACGCATTAGTGTAAGTTTTCATTTGTTTGAAATCTAGTAAGTTGCGCTTAGAAATATAGATAACCAGCGTAATCCGCGTATTTTAGTACTAATAATCAATGGGCGTAAACTTTTTGGAGCGACATACAACAGCAGCATGTAATTCTTAGAACTCATTAGCTAAAACGCTGGTTGCCATGGTACGCAATATCTACTCTCTTCGCAGCAATAACATTTCTATTCATGTGAATTGAGTAATAGGGTTGCGGTTATAGATAATCCATTTGCATGAACATACAAATCTGTATGCCTACCATTTTCACTGTAAGTAATTAGCACTGCTCTATCTGACTTCTTTCGATACAATGAAGCAGGTGGTGCAGAACAGCAGATATATTTATATTTTTATGGTGGCTAATCGTGTCATTCCATTATTAATTGAAGGTGAAAACCACCTTTCACGGTTTTCACCTTGAAGCATATTTTTGTCGCCCATCTTTACACTAAATTAAGTTGAGTTGTATTGAATGAATTGAAATTCGGGTCAAGTAGTTTCTGAAATATAAGTGGACGGTGCCACGTACACTGGCGAATTTTTACACCAATTTTCTTAAAATCTCTAAGCTTCATCTTGGCCGTGAAACTTAATGCTTAATGACGTATGTATTTGGTGGTTTAGCGCATTTTCAATAGTTTTCAACATAACCGTTATATAGTGAGTGGGCGTGGAGGCATCAAATTAATTCATCCTCACCAAGTCAGTTGTCAGTTTTATATATTATTCAGTTAAAGTCAAGTTATAGCTGCTACGGATGGACGGACAGACAGTCACCAGAACTCAACTCGTCTCATCATGCTGATCATTTATATTTATGTTTATATAACTCTATATGTATCTCGTTTTCCTATTATATCCTCTGCTATATGTTACGAAAATATGAAAATTTGCCTGACGCACTTTTTCACTTATAACTCTTTTCATTCATTCTCTATTCATCTATCTCGCATTGTTACCTCTAAATTGTAGGAAAAATTCAAACGTGAATTCAATAAACGTTTCAATTTATGCTTTTGCAAAATTCGCACCAACAACGATGCCCATGAGCGCACATTGTCCATGCATACGAGAGCCACCTCACTGCGCTCGAACTTTGCCAATTCGTCAATGCGTATACGCAACAATTTATATGCCGAAGCGACGGCCGGACAAAACAGATCAGATATTTACTATACATGCCACTATGCCAATATGCGATCGGGCCGGAATGGCAAGAATGTGGCTACCTACAATATTATTGCTTTGCCTCGTAAAACAATGCAAACAAATGAATGTAGCAAAACTAATACCGAGTTGCATAACGCCGTTATTGCTGCAGGCAATGGTCAAAGTGTGCCGCAATGGCGCCGCAACAATTTCAAGCCACTGTATCCGGATGTAATGGAATGTGAAGATGACTTGGACACGCTGATGCACTCCACACCCACATCAGAGGAGCCGAATTCCAGTTCGGCGGGCAGTAATAAGGTGAATGTGAGTGCCGGACCGGGCTTCATATTCAAAACCACAGGGAAAAGTAAGTGTCGAAGTGAGCGTATGAAAATAAATTTTAGTTAAACCATTTTATTGTCTGTTCTTTCACACTCCAGGATAGCTGGGAGATTTGCCGTGCTAACAGAGTTACGAAGAAACCATATTCACTTGTACAGTGGAAATGGACTCAAGTAACAATTAAGCGTACGGCATGTACCTTTGGACAACGTCAAGTTGGGGTCTTCGGCCCATTTGACCTAAGCCGCTTTTGGAACTATGTGTTTTGAGCTCACTGGGCTATTATTGCTGTAAATTTGCCGGTTTTGACAATAATCACCCAGTATCGAAATGAGTCGGGTATGCGGCCGCTAGTGTTGACTCGTGCAAGCAATGTAAATACCAATTACGCTTAAATGTGAACTAAGGTATAAATGTGTGTTATTAATGCCGAAATTATTGTTTTTAAACTTGCAGAATCACCCAAACAAAGTCTGATACGTTGAAGTCGTATCGCTTGCCATGTTACTTACGAATCCGCCGAGGCTTTTAAGCAACGATATGAAATTTAGCAGTATTCATAAGCAATTACTAATGATTCATCACGTGCTATACTATAACATAATAGTTGAATTACAAATTTATATGCATGACATATTAGTACATATCTATATGTGGTTCTATGTGTGTTTTCAAATCGAATTTGCTATTTCAAAAATGACAAATTGAAATTTGAAGTTAAAATAATTTTCAAGTGTGATAATACCAATTAGAATTCTCAAAATAAAATAAAATTTTTAATCTAAATTTCAATTTTATTGGTAATTTAAAGGCATATTTTATGAAATTGAGCAAAGTAAGTACAAATTATTACTTAATGGGTTTCTTTGCAGTATTGTAAGTTCTATAAACACTTTTGTTAATCAAAGTGCAAGCTTTTACGTTGCGTTGTGCTGATTATCAGCTAAAGGGTCTGCCAACAAGAACGACGTGATGTGAACAGGAAATAATGCATTAGTACCTTTTTTTTATTTTGTAAAATAATAAAATAAAAATTATTTTGAAATTCTTAATCTTAAATACGGAAATAAAAAATAAAATGTATAATAATAAAATGAAAAATAAAAATGAAATATTTTTGGAATAAAAATTTCTTTTTTTAATTTTAATTATAAGCTTGGAATTCATTTTTTTTTTTCAATCCAATATTTGTATAATTATATAAATTTAATATATATCGGATCCCATTTGAACTGAGATATTCGTAGTTTCATTAATCATAACTTATCGCACATATTTACAAGCTCACAAGAAAAACTAGTATATCCTTTCAAAATAATAAGTTTGCATACAAAAACAAGATGACATAAGCGTTAGGCTGCAAATGTGATGGTAGGGAACATATGTTGCGAACGAGCCTTAATTTTTACTGTTTGATTGACATGACATCTGTGAAACATATTTAATATCCTCACGGTGATTGGAAATGTCAAATTTTGTACCGGAAAGTGATGATTTGCGGAAAGCATTAAAAGCAAATGGCAGCCATGTTAAATGTTGCGCAACAAAGAATTTCGGACCGTTTGAAAGCTATGAAAAATATCCAAAATTGTGGAAAATATGTGCCACATGAATTAAATAAAAGACAAATGGAAACCCGAAAAAGCACCTGTGAAAGTTTGCTTCAAAGCCATGGAGGAAAATCAGTTTTGCATCGACTGTCACGGAGAAAATCATGGGTTAATCCAGGACAACCATTACCATCGACTGCAAAAACAGATCAATTCGGCAATGCTCAATGTTTGGTGGGATCAGAAGGGTATGGCATAACATGAGCTTTTAAAACCTGGTGAAACTGTTAATACTAATCGCTACAGACCAGAAATGATCAATTTGAACCATGCGTTGTTCGAAAAACGACCAGAATGAGTCAGACGACACGGTAAAGTAATTTTGTTACACGACAATGCACCTGCACATAAAGCAAAATCGGTTTCGGATACAATCAAAGTACTTGACTGGGAGCTGCTGCCTCATCCGCCGTATTCACCAGACTTGGCACCTTCCGACTACCATTTTGTTTTCATCGATGTTTGCTTCAAAATACGAACATTTCTATTGACATGGTCTCCACAAATTGCCAGAAAAGTTGTCAAAATTTGTTTAAAGCAATGGCCAATACTTTAAATAATGTTTATACATTCCCATTCAAAATTAGTATTTAATTTTAACAAAAAATCTTTAATTTTATACCAGTACAGCGGTATATAATTTAATTTGTAAGAGAGATTGTAGCGTTGCCTTAGATAATAATCCACGCCAAATCGCGTGAAGATATCTTGTCAAATAAACGAGTTTTCTTTACAAAAGCTTTATTTTTATCGTCCAGTTTGTATGGCGGCTATGCATGCTACATCGGCGGTTTCGACAAATGAGCAGCTTCTTGGAGAGAAACGCACGTGTGCAAAGTTTCGGATCAATATCTCAAAAACTATATACGGCTAAATCGACTCAGATCCTAGTGCTGATCGTTTATGAATATATACTTTAGAGTGTCTCTGACGTTTCCTTTTGAGTGTTACAAACATCGCGGCAAACTTATTCCGGGTATTAGAGAAGGTCAAAAATGTTTGGTAATTTTGACCAATTCCTGAAAGGTGGGCGTGTTTGATACCTGATTACATATTGTACTATTTAGATATCCAATATTTATGTCGTGTTTGATTGAAATAGTTCAAATAGTTTATGCTAGAGGTAGAAAAATATATGTATATAATTCTGCATTAAAAAAAAATCCAACGAAAATTATTAAAGAGCTTGTCAAGGCATACGCTCTGAAAGCAAAATGTTTTATTAAATATGCATATTATTATTTTTAAATAATGCCTTCACTTTATTTCCACGAACACTTTGTATTGTCCCACATATTTCGTTTGAGTTCACTGTTGTGTCACTTCAAGTTTCATAAATAGCGCGCTGACAAGTAAAAATTTACACGGTGTCACTGCTATGTGTTACGGTAGAATGATTTGCGTAGGCGAGGAAAATTTTGTGGAGCAGGTAGACCGGATTGTTGATGTGTATTAAGCGTTTTAAATTACCTGGAATGAAAATTGGTTTTGACTGATGATGATTACTTGTTTAAATTTATTGTTGTTTAATTTGTCATAATATAACTAATGTATGCATTTAATTAAATGAGTTTATAAAAATTAAGTATTGTAATTTATAAGTTTTTACCCCATTCGATCGAATTTGGTCCGTAATGTTCCAAAAACTACCCTTTGTATGGTTTTAATTTGGCTTGTTAAAACTAAAACCACGCCTACTGCTCATACATATAACGCCATTTTGTGATTTATTGGAGTTAACTAAAACTTCAGTTAAGGTACCTCGGCAAGTTAATATTATAATGTTAAAAGTAAAAACGTCAACTTCGATTCCACCAAAGCTATAATACCCTTCGCAAATACCAAAGATTGCATACAAGGATTCGATTTTGCGAGCGAGCTGCAAGATCAAATGGAGATTTGTGTATCAAGTATTTATCAGAAATGTTTTGAAGATTGGAAGAAGCGTCAACGTAAACGTAATTTACCATCTAAGCAAAAATTTTACCCGGACTGATAATAAACTAAAATTTAAAGTAATTTAATAGAAATCTTTATTATTGCCATCAAAATAGCCCCTGAGCTGATACAAGCATACCAATGTTTAATATAATTTTCCCCACTTCTCTCGTTGTAAGAATTATTATCGTTAAAAAGGATTGTATCAAAGGCTAATTTATTTTATCGTTTCAGTTTTTGCGAGCAGTTTAAATGGACCAGTCCGGTTCAAATTTTTTAGTGTGGTGAGTGAGAGCGTATGCTTTGAAGACCATAATGTTAATCTTGATGAATATTTGATGAATAATGCAAGTAATGCCACTTTTTCAACACTCCTCTGATACGCATATGTGAACTTCATGATGAATTGTCTATTCCGAATTATCTATAATGCGTTTAAATTGAGAAATTGAGAACGGTGTATCTGCTGAAATCATTAATATCAATTTATACCTAATACTCTGTGGGTTTTTAAGAACTTTCTATTTAAAGCACAATGAAATTTAGACAACTTTATAACATATTTTATGCTCATGCTCTCTTGAGTATGCGCTAATAATAGCGCATTAGCTGTTAAGTGGTGAATGAAGTTGCGTAGGCATCTTGGGCTCGTAACCATACCCATATGCGCACCTAAGGCTAAGTACACAGTGCAGCGAAGCGCAAGCCAATGTTGAAGGCAGAAAGCAAATGAGACACAGCCCACTAATTTATGGTTTTTTTGGGGTAATATCGAACATGAATTTGAAAGGCTGCTTTTCCTTGTGTTAAGATATATTTTAGGGCATAAATTAAGTACAGTTACGAAAAAAATGAGCAAATAAATAATTCACACAGTCTAATATTTGATAATATGGCAGTAAAAGCGCTTGCTGATTGTTTTTAATGGAACATTTTCTTCAGCAACAACAGACCCGTCATCTCCCACGCCGGTGTATTATAAATTATCCTTCAGTGCAGTGGTTGTGCTCAATTTGGAGGCACGCATATTACCCACTTCTGTGTAATATGCGATGCTGTGCAAAATAGTCAATTTCAAGAAGAAAAATGAAATTAAATTTTCATCTCATCTAAATTAGCTTTCAAACCCATGTGTTCGAACATAGCATGTTTATGTTGTTGTTTGCATAATGTTGTGGGTTCACGGCAGCTGTGAAATACTTACATATGAAAATATATACATAAGTGTGTGTGTATGTGTATATGTAGTTAGTAATTTGAGAACTGGCTGAAAAGTTTGTGAAATTACGAGTTCTCATATTAAGAATTATTTCGAAATTTATGTAGTTACCGTTAATGGGAGAGCATTTAAACAGCCACAAATAATGTGTGCAGTAACAGGTGCGCAGAAGTTAAGTACTTCAAAGACGCAAGGGCGTATAATAATATGGCATGATAAGGCAATATATTTTCTTGTTTTTTCTTTCCATTTCTTGACTTGGACATCTAAAAATAAATAGGCGCGCATATTGCAGTTGTGGTCTAATACAAAACATATCTACTGAACCATGCATGTTAACTGTTTCGTTATTCTAGTGTGCGTTAATTGTATATTAGTTATGAATTTAATTGCAAGTCAACATTTTTCAAATCTCTTAAAATGGGCGATCTGCACAATTTCACAGTTCGGTGAGTCGGAGACAGAGAGTAGTCAGAATTTTCCCAGACAACAAAGTTCGACTTTAAAGTCATCTACCGGCTAATTTATAGCTGTCTCAGTTCCGATTAGTTAGTCATTATTTGTTATGAAGAATAATAAAATCAGTCCATGGCTATGATTTTAGGTAATAATTCTACTATAAAGTCACTATTGATAGTTTATCATATCTATACGCTCTAAGTCTAAAAAACTTATAATTTAATAGAAATCATTTAAACGGAATGGAATCGCACATGGTATGAATCAAGAAGCTGATACATTTTGGCAGCTATCTCAATATAGTAAATTCCTTTTAATAAATAAGATATTAAAATTTCGGTTTTATGCTACACTAGTCGTTTCTAACTTATTTTAGCACTATTAGTAATCTTAGAATAATTTTTTGGTCAATTCATTCTGTTAACAATTTTGTTTGGGTTTATTTACTTTTTCAGTCTCCCAATTCTGCCCTTAAACACGGGTGCCTCCATAACTAAATCTCACAATTTTAAATTCCATCT